CCCCCCCCCACACACACACACACAGAGGCCCCCAGGGGCTCCGTGACGCCCCGCGGGGAGCCCTGTATGATGCGGCCACGCCACGCCGGGCCGGCCTTGTAGCCTACGCGTACCTTTCCGCTGAAAGTCATTTCTCCTCTTCCTCTTGCACCCCCCCCCCTCCCCTCCAGCGCTCCCATGTCAGAAAAAAGAAGACCGACCACAAATCAGAAGTTGGCAGGAGGATAAAATACCGCACTGCTCGGGGAGAAAATAAGTACGAATATAAGTGACGGTTAAAGGCAAAGCACAGTAGAACGACGGGGCACAACGGATCGACCCCGGGTTTACTGTGAGCACACATTGGTTTCGGTTCCCATCGTATTATTCAACAACCGTAATTCCCGTAATTCGCGTGAGTCGCGACTCGCTGAAAATCATTACCGTTTACACTGGCACAGTGTAGCCGTGCCATGAAAATCCAACAGTGTGCTTGACTTGCATAGCTTCACATGTATCCACACTTACGTTAAGCGTTTAAATTTTTTACAATACAATATAAACCTATGCGTCAGTTCTTGGCGTACGCTCCGAAACGTAAGTGACAGTGCGGCACTGTCGTACTGTTTTTGTTCAGCCGTGCTCCACTGTTCAAAGAGTAGGTCTGTCCCTCTATTGTAGGACTTTCAGAGTGGAACTTGGACATTTGTCCCAGCGCTGTGCGCACCGGCGGACGAACACAATTTATTCCCCGTCCCGAACGTCTGCCTGCGAGATGTTGTGTCGGAAGCGGCGGCCGGGCAGCCGCGTCAGCCAAACGATGGCCGTATAACGGCAGGGCGTGGAAACGTGCGACAGAGAGCGATGGGAAAGTGATGCCCTGTCGACCGTGAGTGCGACAGAGACCAAAGGCTGCTATCTCGTCGGGGGAGCGGTGCAGAGTTGGACCGTTAACAAGGCACGATTAAACCCGAGCGACCGAGAGAGGGGTGTGGAACTGGACACAACAATACGTGCACACACCTGGAATAACGAAATTCAGAAACAATACTAGACCAGAAACAACACAGTACCTACGACACCTTCGACCAAAATTTTGAGAAATATGCTTGTGCTTGCCTAAACCTGACGGCGGTCGTAATAACTCTTGCTACAATTGGACCGCTCAAAAATGCACACTCTAATCTACGAAGAAATGAATCAACAATAAAGGTCTAAGAGTACATGTATTTTTCAAAATTGGATCCGAAAAGTGACCAGCCAGAATCGCATGTACACTTGGCCAGTACCATTCCCCTCTCGATTAAACCAGATTAATTTGTATTGTGACGCCGTAAAGCCCCTGTCGTAAACGAATAAGTGTCGTCGGAATCACGGCGGAACCTAGAAAGAGACAGTGGAGTGACACCGAGAAAGGCGTTCCTCGGGGTTTAAGGACGGTGGAAAGGAAAATTGATTTCGATCGTACTGATTGGAATTCCAGTGTTGATTGATCAATTAATTGTTCATCTGATGTCAGCTCAGATGAAACAAGGAAATGTGGGAGCAAATTAAACGCTCATTGCTATTGAAAGAAAGCAAGAATCCGTAAGATGCAACCTGACAACCATAAACCACACCCTAAGGAAGCACCACCCTTTCCTCGGCGGGACGAGTTGAAGCCCGCGCCATCCGCTGGGTTCAATGACGAGACGGTAGTGACGACGAGCCTGCGGTGCCGGGCGTCCCCCCCCCCCCTCTCCGCCCTCCGCCATCCCATAATGCGTGTTATAGGCGTCGCTCCCCTCCGCTTGATTTCACCCCGGGGCGGCGGGCGGGGCGGCGGGCCCGGTTTCGTCCATCCACTCGCGCCTCGATAAATTCCTCCCACAGTGGGGGACGAGCAAGGAAAGGGGAGGGGGG